TGGGCATCTGAAGAGTAGATCAGTGGATAGGAGCCTGCTCATTCTCTTCCATCTCTTCAATAAATTGTTAAAAAATTTTAAAAAGGCAGTAAGGGGTGGGGGGTGGGGTGAGAGCTAGGTAGGGAGATTCTGAAGATCTGCTGACCTGCCAAGAAGTGCCTGGTTTGTCAGCTACAGTTGTACAGAAAGCAGCTAGTGGACCCCAGGAAGAAGAAAAATACCAGGACTCCCCTGGGAATAGTCACTTTGGGATGTCCCACCAGCTGGACTACGCATCCCTGAAAGCAGTTAGATTTTAACTTCATGTTTCTTGGACAGAACCAATATCTTGTTCACGGAGCAGAGACAGACTGGCTAGGTCTGTGCAAGGGAGGTCTGTGCCTGAGCCTTCCCCTCTTTCTTCTGTTGTCCAAGGTGAGGCTTCCTTGGGAGTCTGACTTGGTAGATGAATGCTTTGACATGAACAGTGGGACTTTGAGAAAGAAACCCCTATTCAAGTGAGCAATGTCAAGACTGTAAGGGTAAGGGTCTCAAAGAAACCAGGTTCAGCAGTGATTTCTACTTTCCAGCACAAATGTGTTGGTTACACAGATCAAGCTTGAATAAGCCTGAGAGTAGCCTTGAGACCAGAAGGTGAGTTTGTATGAGCCATGCCCTAAGAGCCAAGCAAAGTATAACTGTGGCTGTCCAGGGTGTTGTATTTGGCCATTCCAGATCTGTGACCTGGGTCAGCAGTGGGAAGAAATGCTGTACTTAGAACTCCAGCTTCTACCAAGAGAGAGTGAAGACTGGCAGCCTCTCCCAGGTGTCACAGTGGGGACCAGGCCCACATCTTGACTCTGTGCTCTATAAGCTCTGTGTTTGAGGCCACAGGGCCACTTAACTCCTGGAATGAAAGTCTTCCACCTTAATCAGCACCATGAAACTTCTATTTCTATTGTTATATGAGGGTACTTTAGTAAGTTCAGGGAAAATGCACATTACAAAAAGAACCTATGCATTTCTGCACCAACACAAGTACCTTTTAATTTCATTTCCCATTAACTTCTGAAGTATGTACCTTTGTCTAAGAGAACTGGTTAAAGAGGAAGACTTTCATCATTGGAGTACAGCTCCACATTTTTCTTGTTCCACATGAGACCTGTTTATCAGGAGCAGGTTAGACCCAGTTTGTCTCCATGCTTTCAGCACCCCCGCTCAGCTGCTGGTTTCTTCCTATGTACCCATCAACTCTGCATTCTCCGGGAGGAATGGAGCTCACTTGGCTCAGAAGGGGTAGGGAGGAAACAGGTGGTGTCAAGATTAGCGTGGAACTGCCCTTTGCCTGAGCCTGGCCAGTCTTGAGAGACTCAGATGCCAGGGAAGCAGTGGCTCTAATCATTTGAATTTTCCTAAGCAGAAAAACTTGTTTTACTTTTTGGTAAGACCCTGCATTGACATTTTCAGGTCACTCAGTGAGTATGGGGGGGGGGCATAAATCACTGTATTCAGTGTTTAGGGATATACACGTCATTAGAAGACCCAGTCTACATGGATGGTACAACCATCCAAAACAACTCAGCATTTCCAAAACAACTCAGTTACTGAGAAGGAAGAGCCTTGAGTGACTTTGTTTATACATCCATTTGACCACTATTTATTTACTAAACATTATACAGGGTCCCCGTGCTGCATGCTTGTGGGATAAACAGAGCAAAACAAGGTCTCTGTCCCCAAGAAGCTCACAGTCCAAAAATAATTCACCTTTTTAGAGATCATTAAGCCCCTTAGAAAATGTGCTCAAAGCTGAGATTCCTACAGCAAGTCATGTGCTCAAACCTCAAACTTTTTTGTTTAGCTTGTGAGTCCATGGCTTGGGGTATAAATGGAGTAGGAGAGTGGGCAGCTGGAGAGAAGAGGAAGGGGAGTAGGGGCGGGAGAGAGAAAAGGAAAGCTAAGAAGGTGCACACGTGTATTTCTCTTCCCCAGGTAAGGGAGCTAGGAATGGGCCTCTGCCTCTGAAGGTGGAGCACGCTTGGGAAGGCCCTGGTTATGCTTTAACCTCTTAAAACCTGCACACTGCAGTGCTCCTGGCGGGGGTGGAGGTGGCAGTGGGACCCTTACAGAACTGTGTTCAGCAGAGTAGTGACCGCCTGTCCCACTTTTAGCTGTCCATACGAGACTGTGGTTGGAATGATGTGAATTTTCCAGTGAGTTTGGTAGGCAGATCTGATTGGAAAACAAAGGCAGTGCCAAGGCAGGTGCCTCAAGGTCCCGATCCCGATCCCGATCCCCGATCCCTTTCCTCAGTGAGCTCTGTTAGCAGGATTACGTTTTGGCTCTGTGGGGGTGGAAAAGCAGGCACAATTTGAGTGAAAAGCTTTGGAAGCTGGTAGGAGCGGAAGGAGCAGGCCCAGGCTTGGAACATGAGTTTCTAAGAACTGACTCTGGGACCATCAGGCAGCCCACACAGCAAGGCAGCTTCCATTGTCAACTCCGGTGCACACGCATCACCCAGGTAGGCTTCATCAGGATTTCTGTGTCTGAGACTCCCTTTAGGGGTCCTCTCCTTTGCCTCCTGTGAAATTCTTGCCTGTTTAAATTTCATACACCAAACCAATTTTTTTTTTTTCAAGGAGAGGTTGAGTATACTGTAGATGAGAAGAGGCAGGTAGATAAAAGTACTTACTTAAACACATATGGGGCAAGACTTACAGGGTTGGAGGCCCAGATTAAGATGCAGAGGAGCATGTGAGGTTGATGATTATATTTCGGGGAGAGTTAATTGATGGAAGGTGAAGGCAGACAAAGAACCGCTGCTTACTGCCTTCTTGAATCCCAATCAGGAATTATGATTAAAGTCGCAGCGAGACAACAGAGGGCTGATGAATTGGTGTCTTTTTTTTTTTTCTTTTTTGCCGTCATTCACACTTGATTGACTTCAACCTTTCAAGTGCAAAAGTCTCTCTTTTCCATTATTATTCATAGCCATCTGAGTTTTTCTAATTAAAGTGTATGAAAACAATTACTGATCCGTCGTACTGAGTCTGTTAGAGGGGATGTCTGCCTTACTGTAATGCCTATAAAAAGCCCACAGTTTTCTATAATGATGTGCAGCTGAGGTGTTAGATAATTTTATTCTTTTTTACTCTGTAGGGCTTTTTTTTTTATTTCTCATGATTCATTTTCCATAATTCCTAAAGATCCCAGGAAAGGACTGCTCCTGCAGCTACAACCGAGAGGAGGTGGGGGGGAGTCTTTTTTCCTTTCCCTTTCTCCCCCTCGCACCCCCAACCTTGTGCTCCCCCTCGGCTGAGGACTATAAATTAATCGGTGACCTTTCACTTCTTGGATTCCCACTGGACCCCCCAACCACACTGGTCAGAAATGCTTTCTATTAAAAAGAAAATAGATGGAATGAGTTTGGCAATCTCCATTCCATTCCTAACGATTCATCAACAGCTAGCCTTAACCAGCTGCTGACGTGCCGCGTGTGAGGGTGCAGATGTCCCTGGGAGCAGGAATGCTGTGTCACACGTGTTCACCGGCCGTGCACCTGCTCTTTGCAAACACGGGGGCTCTGAGAACCTGTCTCTATAGTGCCTGTTGCTTACTTTGTGTACCTGTTGGCGTTGGTTGGGGTTGCTGAGATAATTCTAACATCCCTACACGTGATAGAGGAGTTACCTTTTTGGTGTTGAGGGGGGCAGTTTTCTGGTCTCCTCTAGGCATTGAGCCTATTGCTGATGACACCGGTGAACATGTCTGCAGTGACTAAGGACAAGGACAGGCTCTTCAAACCATTCAAAACTTCAGTCATTTATTAAAAATACTAATTTTGAACAAGTATCTAAGTGTTGTAATCTCTGCTATTTCAAACCCGTGTGTGCTGAGAAAATAATGCCTCCAGCTGGGGCTGGGTGCCATGTAGAGAGAATAGAGGTGACTGTACTTTTCTGTGCCTGTAACCTGTAGGTCAGTTCCCTTCTCAGGCAGTCATCAAATGGGAGACAGTTTCTAATTCATTTGGAAATATCATCATCACTAACCTGCCTACCCCATAGCAGGTCCGGGGGCTACTGCTGTATGTTTAAACAAAGAACCTTTTATTCTTACATTGGATACTGAGGGCTGCTTATCACATTAACACAGGGCAAATGACATCTTGTTTGGACAGGCTTCTGACCAGGTGGCAGGGAGGCCTAGAGATCTAGGTCTGAGGATCTGGCTTAAAAATTGTAGGTATCTGGGTCCAGGCCAGTTTCAAATGTGCTATATTAGAGAGCAATGCTCATGGTCAAGGTGGGGCAGCCGTGTTGTAGAATGCTGTGCAGGCTACCTGCAGAGGCTGGAACACTGGCCAGATGTCCCCTCTGATGTCGTCTGCCTCCAAAAGAAATTCAGGCTTGAGTGAGTGAGTCAGGAAAAACGCTTGTGTGCATTTGATGTCAGTTTGTAAAGGGTTACAAGATGTTGTTTCCTGGAAAATCCGCCAGTGTGTCTGGGTGTCCTTAGCCTTCCCTTTGTTCTCTTCGCTCCTTCTCACCCTTTTCTTCACTCTTACTCCCTCCTCTTCTTGCCTGAATACATTTTGAAAACAGTACTACAATGCTCCCTGCTTCAAGATTACAGTGTACTTTACTAGGTATGATTTAATTAGGGCCCTTATTATGTTTTCAGCAGCTTAAGGTGGGCCTTTCAACTTATCCACCTAATTGGTTGCACAAGAAGTTTCACAGCCCATGACAAAACATTGTCAGTGATCAAAGTCAAAATTCTGCATAAAGGAAAAATATTAATAATAAGATTATTCTTCAAGTGTGCACTGCTAATTATGTCCAGAATGTAACCGTAGAAACACTTTTGACTGATGTGAGCTTTGTCTAATAAACATGAATCTTCAGTGAGCTATGAAAAGTGACACCTTCAGCTTTATACTGGTGAAGGCTAATTTCGCTGTTTAAGTAACCGTTAGACCGTTCCTGTTTGCGCCCTTCCTCTCCCTGTGACCCTCCCTGTGTCCTCAGGTGACCACCCCCGAGATGGTGATGCCCAGCAGCATGTTCCTCCCGGCAGCCGTTCCAGATCGAGACGGGAGTTCCAACCTGGAAGAGGCAGGAAAGCAGCCTGGTCAGTGTCAGCATTCTTGACCCCTGGGAATGGAAACAGAATAAAACTGTGGGTGAAGACGTTCATGGGTGAGGGTTGTGGCAGTTCTTGACAGTACTCCCAAGCTCCGTGTAACTATTCAGGAGATGAGGGGCACTGTCATCATGGCATGCTTTCATGAAGTATAAAAAGCGAGAGAAAATGTTGGTGCGGACACATGGTCCCCAAAAGTGTACAGTTAGGAGTGAATAACCAGAGACTTGGTTGCTGGTCTGCAGACCCAGTATCCTAAGCCGTCAAACACTGCATCTCTGAGGATCTCACCGTTAGGGACTTGATTTTGGAGGGCGCTGGATTGTCCTTCCAGGAGCTGCCTCTGCACAGGGTCTTCTGGGATTGCCAGAGGGTGAGGTGTAGAGGTGCTTGGAAAACCCAGTGTTAAAGACACAAAGTACAAATTGCTGGGGCCACAGAGCAGTTGCCAGATAGGTCACTAGATCTCTGTGAGGCTACGTCTTCCACCCATTAAAAGCACCTAAGATTTAAGTTAGGAAGAGTTCAGCCTCACTACTGCCCAGCCGCTCCTCTTACGATTGCTCCATATTGGGCAGTGGACAGATATCCTGGCTGTAAGTCAGGGTATTTATAGGTGTGATGAGTTCATTGTAGAAAAAACCCTGATAATTGAATGATCTTTGCTTATTGAATATAGATGAGAATTGAAATTCCCATTATAACAACAAATCAACATTCCAGAATTTCTTACGTTACAGTGGACAGTTCTTGTAACTTCCCCACAACTGAAGACAGCATTAATTCACATATTCTGTGACTCACTAATTCACTGTTATAAATTGTTACTACATAAAAGTTCAAACAAAAAAAAAAGGGGGGATCTCGTGTAAAATCAGAAACCTTCAACTTGAGAAACTGAGGATTCTGAATCAAGCAATAAAAATAGATCTGTGATGCAACACAGGCCTATTACGAATTGGAACTTGGTATTTTTTCCCATCTCTTCCTGTACACCCTGTTGATACTGTGTACAGAGATACTTCAACAAGTTTGTGGAAAATAAGAGTTAAAAGATATGTTGATTTTGGTGCAAAGCAATTTTTGAAATCCATGTATATGAGAGGGCTTAAAAGACTATGAATAATACATATTATTAAAAAACTACATACGGATTTCAAACTATTTCTGCACCAAAGTAAACTCATCATTTAAGTCTATTTTCCATACACTTTAGGGACAAAAATGAAGGGAGGAGGCTCCAGACAGAGATTCCGTCATTCAGGTTGGGGTACGTTGCCCATCATCAGATTCTGCATTCACTGGGCCTGGGTGCCATCCCTGAAACAAAACGGCCTTTACCTGTGGGCTTGATGTTGTTTTTACAGAAACCTCAGAGGATCTGGGAAAGAACAACGTGCCATCTGCGAGCTCAGAGCACAGTGGAGATCTGAAACCCTCTCCTGCTGACCCCAGCTCTGTGAGAGAAGACTCAGGCTTCCTGTGCTGGAAGAAGGGATGCAACCAGGTTTTCAAAACTTCCGCCGCCCTTCAGACGCATTTCAATGAGGTGCACGCCAAGAGGCCTCAGCTGCCTGTGTCAGATCGTCATGTGTACAAGTATCGCTGTAATCAGTGCAGCCTGGCTTTCAAGACCATCGAAAAGTTGCAACTCCATTCTCAGTACCACGTGATCAGAGCCGCCACCATGTGTTGCCTTTGCCAGCGCAGTTTCCGAACTTTCCAGGCTCTGAAAAAGCACCTTGAGACGAGCCATCTGGAGTTGAGCGAGGCTGACATACAGCAGCTTTATGGTGGCCTTCTGGCTAATGGGGACCTCCTAGCAATGGGAGACCCCAGCCTGGCGGAGGACCACACCATCATTGTCGAGGAAGATAAAGAAGAAGAGAGTGACTTGGAAGAGAAACAGAGTCCGACAGGCAGTGACTCTGGGTCGGTCCAAGAAGACTCAGGCTCAGAGCCAAAGAGAGCACTACCTTTCAGAAAAGGCCCCAATTTCACCATGGAGAAGTTTCTAGACCCTTCTCGCCCTTACAAGTGTACTGTCTGCAAGGAATCTTTCACTCAAAAGAATATCCTGCTAGTGCACTACAATTCTGTCTCCCATCTACATAAGTTAAAGAGAGCTCTTCAAGAATCAGCAACAGGTCAGCCAGAACCCACTAGCAGCCCAGACAACAAACCTTTTAAGTGTAACACTTGTAATGTGGCCTATAGCCAGAGTTCCACTCTGGAGATCCACATGAGGTCTGTGCTGCATCAAACCAAGGCCCGGGCAGCCAAGCTGGAGGCTGCAAGTGGCGGCAGCAACGGGACTGGGAACAGCAGTGGTGTCTCCCTGAGCTCCTCCACACCCAGTCCCGTGAGCACCAGCAGCAGTAACACCTTTACCACCACCAATCCAATCAGCACTGGCATCACTCCGAGTTCCAATTTACTGAGCCAAGTGCCCCCTGAAAGTGTAGGGATGCCGCCCCTGGGGAATCCCAGCGGGGCCAGCCTCACTGCGCCTTCAGAGCCCAAGGAGGCCAATCGGAAGAAGCTGGCAGATATGATCGCATCCAGGCAGCAGCAGCAGCAGCAGCAGCAGCAAGCACAGACCCTGGCCCAGGCCCAGGCCCAAGTTCAAGCTCACCTGCAGCAGGAGCTGCAGCAGCAGGCTGCGCTCATCCAGTCTCAGCTGTTCAACCCCACCCTCCTTCCTCATTTCCCCATGACTACCGAGACTTTGCTGCAGCTGCAGCAGCAGCAGCACCTGCTCTTCCCTTTCTACATCCCCAGTGCTGAGTTCCAGCTCAACCCCGAGGTGAGCCTGCCAGTGACCAGCGGGGCGCTGACGTTGACAGGCACCAGTCCTGGCCTGCTGGAAGATCTGAAGGCTCAGGTTCAGGTCCCACAGCAGAGCCACCAGCCGATCCTGCAGCAGCAGCAGCAGCAGCAGCAAAGCCAACTCTCTCTGTCCCAGAGTCACTCTGCCCTCCTCCAGCCAAGCCAGCATCCCGAAAAGAAAAATAAATTGGTCATCAAAGAAAAGGAGAAAGAATGCCAGAAAGAGAGGGACGGTGCTGAGGGAGCAGAGGGCAATGGGGGAGCAAGGGAGTCGCTGCCAGATGCCTTGAAGCCCAAAGAGAAGAAAGAGTTGGCACCGGGGGCCAGTTCTGAGCCTTCCATGCTGCCTCCACGCATCGCCTCCGATGCCAGAGGGAACGCCACCAAGGCCTTGCTGGAGAACTTCGGCTTTGAGCTGGTCATTCAGTACAATGAGAACAAGCAGAAGGCGCAGAAGAAGAATGGGAAGACAGAGCAGGGAGAGAACTTGGAGAAGCTCGAGTGCGACTCTTGTGGCAAGCTGTTTTCCAACATCTTGATTCTAAAGAGTCATCAAGAGCATGTTCATCAAAATTACTTTCCCTTCAAACAGCTTGAGAGGTTTGCTAAACAGTACAGAGAGCACTATGATAAACTGTATCCCCTGAGGCCCCAGACCCCAGAGCCGCCACCCCCTCCACCGCCGCCCCCTCCGCCCCCTCTCCCCGCGGCGCCTCCTCAGCCAGCCACCACGCCAGCCATCCCCGTGTCGGCCCCGCCCATCACTTCGCCTACCATTGCCCCAGCCCAGCCTTCTGTGCCACTCACCCAGCTCTCCATGCCAATGGAGCTGCCCATCTTCTCGCCACTGATGATGCAGACGATGCCCCTGCAGACTCTGCCGGCGCAGCTGCCCCCTCAGCTCGGGCCTGTGGAGCCTCTGCCTGCAGACCTGGCACAGCTGTACCAGCATCAGCTCAATCCCACCCTGCTCCAACAGCAGAACAAGAGGCCCCGCACCAGGATCACAGATGACCAGCTCCGGGTTCTGCGGCAATATTTTGACATTAACAACTCTCCCAGCGAGGAGCAGATCAAAGAGATGGCGGATAAGTCCGGCTTGCCCCAGAAAGTGATCAAGCACTGGTTCAGGAACACTCTCTTCAAGGAGCGGCAGCGTAACAAGGACTCCCCGTACAACTTCAGCAACCCTCCCATCACCAGCCTGGAGGAGCTCAAGATAGACTCCCGGCCCCCTTCGCCGGAGCCTCAGAAGCAGGAGTACTGGGGAAGCAAGAGGTCCTCAAGAACAAGGTTTACTGACTACCAGCTGAGAGTCCTCCAGGATTTCTTTGATGCCAATGCTTACCCAAAGGACGATGAATTTGAGCAACTCTCGAATTTACTGAACCTTCCAACTCGAGTCATAGTGGTGTGGTTTCAGAATGCCCGACAGAAGGCCCGCAAAAATTACGAGAACCAAGGAGAGGGCAAAGACGGAGAGCGCCGTGAGCTTACGAACGATAGATACATTCGAACGAGCAACTTGAACTACCAGTGCAAAAAATGTAGCCTGGTGTTTCAGCGTATCTTTGATCTCATCAAGCACCAGAAGAAGCTGTGCTACAAGGACGAGGATGAGGAGGGGCAGGATGATAGCCAAAATGAAGATTCCATGGATGCCATGGAAATCCTGACGCCCACCAGCTCCTCCTGCAGCACCCCCATGCCCTCGCAGGCTTACAGCGCCCCGGCACCCTCCACCAATACGGCACCCTCTGCTTTCCTGCAGCTCTCAGCCGAGGCTGACGAACTGGCCTCCATCAATTCAAAAGCAGAGGCGAGCGATGAGAAACCAAAGCAGGCTGAACCACCCAGTGCGCAGCCAAACCAAACCCAAGAAAAGCAAGGACAACCAAAGGCAGAGCTGCCGCCGCAAGAGCAGCCTGAGCCGAAGACCAACCTGCCCCAGCAAAAGCTCCCGCAGTTGGCCTCCCCCCCTGCCTTACCCCAGCCTCCTCCACAAGCACCCCCTCCCCAGTGTCCCTTACCCCAGTCGAGTCCCAGCCCGTCCCAGCTCTCCCACCTGCCCCTCAAACCCCTCCACACGTCAACTCCTCAACAGCTGGCAAACCTACCTCCTCAGCTAATCCCCTACCAGTGTGACCAGTGCAAACTGGCCTTTCCATCCTTTGAGCACTGG